GCAGAGCATCAATATAGTACTTACGGCATCCAACCAACAAATTACAGAAGAATATAATGGTAAAAACTTCCATTGGAAGTTTACCAAAAAAACAAATGTCTACCACCATTAGATTTAGTTAATGTTCGCAGGAATAAGATGTAAATTAAAAATACTATGACATAATAAAAACATGTGACTATATGAATCTCATAACTATATACAAATTACAATAATATTGACAAATGATGATAAAAACTACACCACGAATATAAAATATACTCAGTTTTATTTTATTACTGATTTATTTTAAATACAGAATTAGGTAAAGTAGAACTCGCATGAAATATTAATGCGATACGCTTATATTATTCATCATAAAATTTTATGTTCTTATTTTACGGTGAAAATAGGTGAAATGACGATAGGAAACGAACCTTAATGTGCATGATTATTTGCTCTTCTACTATATTTTTTCGTCCAATGTTATATAAATAAAACATTACTTCTTTATCTTGTAAATATATTATTAATAACACCTCCTATTTCAATAATAATATTGGTTATTTTGTATATTTTAAATATGAACTTATTATAATTTGAATTAAATTTCGCTATTATTTTTTTATCATCAAAAGAAAAGAAAAAAAAGTGAAAACTTTTTCTTTCTTCATTTCGTAGCCCGCCCTTTACGGAGATTTTTTTTCGGTCGAAATTTCTCCTTTAGGTGAACGGTATGAGGGCAAGCTTTAAAATTATATCAAAGTTTATAATGGAAGTTTCGAAAGTGTTGTTTATTTATTTTCCGACAATTACTGCCTAGGGACGGTTCATTACAGGGCCTGCGGAATACGAAAGTGTGTACATATTTAGAAGGGCTCCTCTCAAAGACGTCAGAGACGCCGGAGGAGCGAGAAAGGAGAAACTTCGACAAATATTCCCTTATTAAACTCCTGGCCCCAGAGTCTCAGTGGTTGTCCTTCGACAACCTTCTTCCGTCAATAATTCAGATCCACATCTAATATTCTTATTTCATTAACAAATTAAATATTTATTCTGAAACTTCTCCAGCTTTAGGATACAGCTTTTTTCTAGATTTTCTACTACCAATAAACAGATAAATAAATAATTAATAAAAGTAATTAATTTACGTTTTTATTTTGTTTTTGTACTTATTATTTATTATATATAATTCGTTATTATTAAGATATTTACTTTCTCAATAGATACATCGTTGTCAATATGGATCAAGTAAATAGTAAAACAAAAATATAAAATTGTGCAATATTAATGACTTACGCATGACTTTCATTATTTAACGAAAAAAACTCAAATAATTTTTTAACTGGACAAGAATAATAAAACTTATATAATCATCATAATTGTGAAGGACAAAATATATAATTATATTTGCTACTGCAAAATGATTCCATGTAAATCTCAAGTGAATATTTTTTATTTTTGTAAATATATTGTTCTAATATTTAACTATTGTAATGATGGTAATAAAACATGAAAGGGCTATGCGAAAATATAGATTCCGTCGTTTGGTAAATGTAATATGAAATGATTTAATTTAAATTAATGCAAAACTTGCCAAATCTAACCGGCTGTGTTGAATTGCACCGAAAGTCAAATATCGAATTATGATGTAATTTCTCGGGTATTTGGCAAGCTCCGGAGAATTACGGTGTAAACGACCCAAACTCCGGGATATTATCCTGTAGGGTAAGTAATTCCCGTTTAAGAACTATTGCATTTATTAAACTATAATTAGAGTTGGCTGAAAACATAATATTCAATTCAGCATCATATTTTGAAAACTTCTATTTTTCTTTACTTGTTTTTTTTTTATACATATATAAAATACTAAAATATAAGTGTTGAAATTTTCATTCATTTCGATTTTTATTTTGCAGATTTTAAACAATTAATTAAACTTGCTGTGTTACAATTCAATCATTGTATTTTGTTTATGGTCGATGAAGAGAGTGAAAGAAGAGCTCCCAACAAATACAAATGTTTTATTATGGTTATAATTTTCAGTAATCTCTTTGTAAATGAAACAAACATATCAGTGTAGTAATTAGTATATCAAACGTTTTGTTTTATAAAGTCATTATATCTGTTTGGAGATGTAATGTTGTTTTCAATATATTCAATAATTAATCCCAGCAGCAATTGTTAAAACTCACATACCGAATTGTATGAATACCGTTGGCAAATATCGATTGGAATATCAAGCCAATTAAAAACGTATGACAAGCAAATCCATTGGAATACATCCTTGGTTCGTTTCTGATTTAAAATTCCTTACTAAATTGCAAAAATGAAATCCCCCCATGTCACCGCTGTGCATATCAAACCGTCCCGTTTGAGCAACGCGAAAGACACGGGAGGATGAATAAAACAAACTTGTTATAAAATGATTTGGAATGATGTAAAAACATTAATCAAGGAAGACAACGGAGCTTGTTGAAATGTAATCGGCTTATAAAGAACAGAGATAGAGAGAGGGTGAGATGGAGTGGGATTGTGGAAAGCGAGACGAGGATAGTAACGGTGAAACCAATTCTCATTCAAATTCGGAAATCGTTAAATTTGCTCCTCAAATAATCTGTTTTATTCCGATTGGGGAAACGAGGTAAGTCAATCAATAAATCAGACACTTAAATTCTGCAAAGACCTCAATTTTCCAGTTCACTTTGGAGGAAAGCCGCTGCACATCCCGCATAGACACATTTCGCAGTTTCAACAAAAAAAAATAAAAGATAACACGAACACCCTGTCTCCTTCACTTATTTTACTTCCATTATTTGAAGCGGAAATTGCATTTCCGCATTTAATTGCAAAATCTATCAATTTTTGTGTACGCAATTCTCACCAGCCCATTCGAAATGTAATTTACGATCGGCTATTTGGAACGAATGCAAATGTGTGTAGGGCAGATATTTTATTGAAAATGAGTTGCAAATTATAATGTCGGATGCGCGCCATGGGAAAAATACAACAAACGGTGGAGGCTGGCGATCGAGCCATGCCCTGCACGCAAATAAATGTTGTACGATCGTGAATGACATTTCAAAACCTCCATCAGAATTGAATGATGATTACGTACTGATGTGGAAATCAACGGCAATTGATGATACGCCTCGAAACGATAACCAATTAACTTTTCGTCCCTGCTCCAATTTTGCGCGCGAAACGTACAAATATAAAAAACATTAACCGTAAATTATAATTTCAATTTTCCTACAATTAATTACCTCACCTAGCGACCGCAAATTGGGCGCGCGGCTTATTAGGTTTCCTTCACTCTCGGACGGCGCGGGAGGAAGTGTGGTGTTTGAAATAAGAAGACGAGAGGGAAAAATGAGGGAATTCCTGCACGTCGCAGTGTTGAAATGAGGGAATAAATTGTTAACTTTTCCGATGCCGAACCACCTCCGCACCGTAACAGCATGAAGTCGCCGCGTCCAAAGTAATTCCGTTAACTTAAGCGGAATAACTCTAGCAATTCCTGAAAATAATTATTCTTGTCACCGTATATAAATATTTTATCCATCGGTCCCTTGCACAAGAGTAGTATAAATACCGGTGTTGAAATAGTTTCATTTTATATTAATAGCAGAAGTAGAAAATTCATATAAACTTTAAAAAATCATATATAATTTTTTTTTAATTATTTAGATACTTTAATTATTTAAAAATATTTTTATCCAAAAGTAAATATATACATTTTTTAGTGTTTTCTTTTGTAAATTCAAATTATACACTAACTCACCAGGCGAATAAGCACATTGAATAAAATTGTAGCCAATAACACGCATAGTCCGGGTAATAGCCAACATAAAATCAATCGCAAAAAAAAAAGAAACTTACATTCAAGTGAAGAATAATAATTTTATGTATAATTTTGTTAGAATTTATTTTTATTTTGCTGAAATAAATTTCACTTTGTTTCGAAATTTTCAAACTGGTCTATTTTATATTATATACATTCTAGAATCAATAAGTTTGAGAAACTCAAGTCTTCTGTAATCGACAATGTTTAGCATTCGCTATAGCAGCAGTTTTCAAACTGTATAAAGCAATGGTTATGCTCTACTATTATTCCGTCCCCATACAAACTTCCGAACTTGTTTAAAAAAAACGTATATTAAGTGTCTTAATTTCATGTTCATGCATCGCTTATGAAAATGGCACTTTGTCTTAGCACATTTTTCACACAATTCAACCATTTAGATCTATTTTTATTCCTATCTGAAACATTAACCTGTCCGCGAAATATTTTTCATATTTTCGCCTGTACAAACATCCAAGTTTGAAGAACACAGATCTAAAACAACTCCTGACTGATGGCTAGTTAATAGCAAACTCTCTTAAATATATTTGTGATTATATAATATTGACATAATCATGACAATATAATATTATATGTGAAAGTTTATACAACATTAAAAAGTATTACCGATAATAAAAATTAATTTTAAAATAAAAATAAAAAGATTAATATTTTTATATACTATTTATTATAGTCCGATGTTATCGAATATTTAAAGTGATATGCTATATATTGTAAGTGCTAATTCAAACTGAAATATTCCAAATTTAAAAATATACAGTATACATATTACACGTAGTAAACTATAGAGTAACTATTAAAAGAGTAATAAATAAATCTGTGGTAATAACAAACAAACAAAATATATGTTAATGATTTAAAAGTATGCAAATTACATTTTAAAATATGCGTTCATAACAAATTCTATACCAATAAACATCAAATGGATTCATATAAAATTTGCATTCAAAATTTAAAACCACCAATTTGTTAATATATTTCCCCTGGCACCACAAACGTTCACTAATAATTTACAACTCATAATCAATACAGAAAACATTCACATCCGCTCCCACTTAATCCCATATTCTCGTTGCAGAACAAACCGATGTGGAAACGGACGATTCATACAAATATATATATATTTGGGATGCTGAACATTGTGTGTAAAACTCACCAGGATTGGAGACTTCGCATGGGAGGATGACTGTATCCTTGTCCGTAATCTTGAACACTTGACTGGATGTGCGGAATGTCGGCAATGTCGCCGGATCCACCTTTATAGTTGCCTGGCTCGATTCTGGAACGACAATAAAAATTTATTAATAAATAATAACTGCAACCTATTTCTTCGGCACGAGTACATCCGACAGAAATAATTCAACCTTTACATCCGCATCAGACGGTAATATTACCTGTTATTGCTTTCGTTGGAAATTCTGCTTCATTTAAACATAAATGTCCGACGAGGTAATGCAATCCATTATTTTGAAACCGATAAAAATAAACCGGTTATTTTTGTCGACAAAATTTAACATAGTATTGGTACATAGAAAATAAAAATATTGCACTCAATAAAAGTTTGTAAATAACATTATTTCGCATTATAATAGCAATTCTGTTCTAATCAACATATTAAGCCCACTTAAGAAAATATTTGCTTTTTTTAGATATTTAGATAAACATGTTTTATTTACAATTATTATTATATTATTCATAAATACTGCACAACGTATTAGATAGACACCAGCAATCAAATCCTTCAAAATATTTCTATTTCTGTTCTTTTCGTATTATCTGTATGCAAATAGAACGTAAATATTCAAGAGCTCAATTCGAAGAGCAAATATTATAAATGAATGGCTCCTCCCACACATCACAAGTAATGGAATGCAATGTGCGCCGCAACGTTCCGGTGATTTTATATTGAAATGGCATCACACATAATACTTTAGTGTTGAAAAAGTGGACACAAGAAGCTTAAAATACAGATTACACAAACAAAAGCTGAAAATCTACTCGCAGAAATTCAGCATTACGTACACCCGTTTCATAGGATATTATACTTTGCACACAGGACACCTTCGCCAACGTAGACGAAGCAAACGAAAAAAAAAGTTAGCAAAAGCAAAATGTTGTCTAATTAGAGATGGAAATCGCGATGTGTTTTATTTATCGAAGGAACGGAAATACGAATATTTACAAATTCCATTTAGGCGCTTTCAAGGTTCGGATGATTGCTTTTACCGCGACACGACGACAAAAGCAATATCACCGTTGGCAATATCGTCGCGATGCTATCACTCCGAAATTCCGCTTATAAACAAATAATAAAGCTCACCGACTTACAGGAAGAAGAGGAGTCTATATACAAAATCAAAATAACTACCGAGAAAAGATTTTGCAAAAATAAAATATTTGTTTAAGTTTTTGTCGATTTTAGTTAACATTTTATTTTGTTTGGTAGGTTTTTATAATTCCAAAATATTAATATACCCACTATATATTGTTATTTCAAAATGTACTTTACCTTTCATTACGATTTGGCCTACATATATTTTTTTACTAATATATATGATCATTGTATTTTTGACATCATGCAAAATACACAGTATGCATCATAATGGAAAGGTTTTTAGCCCAAAATGGATTACATATTTTAATATGAATAAAATTGAAAAACTGTTTTTTTATATTTCCGTTTAATGTAATTTACATTAATTATGAGATACGATAATTCTGAAGTTATAATATTTGAAATTAAATATTGATGAGTTTTTACAATATAATTTTATTATATCATTAATATTAAAATGTGTTATTTCTTATAAAGTACTATTAGGTTATAGGTTCGTAAAAACTGAATCAAAGTCTATGCGAATTTTTTGTTATAGTTATCGATTTTAAAGGAGGTAAACTTTTCAATTCGTACAATTTGCTGACGGATGGTCGAAAAATCCGTAAACACGCCGTCCTCCGCCCTTCCATATCTTCGTACGTCGTCGTCAATATAGAAATGATCAATTTTTATTTTATTCCTATCGCAACAGCTGCAACAACACACTCGGCTCTATAAATTTGTGATATTGGATTTACTCAATTCCCCAGGCGTTTTTCATGTTACTATCTCAGGCCAGGAAGTCGCACGCGTCGTTCTGGATGTCTGAGAAATCTGCCAGAGAGACCTTTCCGACCTTCGCACCAACTCGGACCGCAAATATACTGACCCTTAAATAAGATCAAGCAGGCGTATTGTTATGTGTTAAAAGTCAGGTTCGAGGCGTAAATTTCAATTTGAGAATTCCACCTTAGTATTGGGTATTTAGGATTGCCCCTTTTTGTTTGCACCAATAAAATACATGACAAATCAAATCGAATTATTTTACGATATTTCCTATTTTTTTTGTTTACCGAAAACCCCAATACTGTTTGCATAATTTTTTCAGACATTTATTGTACCGCCTTCAAGAAACGAAATGCATAAATTCAGATATAGAGAAAAATAATATATCAGAGTTTACGATACAGGAAAATCCATTTTAAATCAAAAGTTATGCTAGAATTCTAATCATTTTTATTTAAGAAAAGTTTGACAAATAAAAATAAACAAATGACGAACAAAATACAATTTATATTTCACAAGTTTTTGTGTTTTGATTTAATGTGTACTGTTCATTAAATTATATACGATAATACATATACAATTATTTATGGCCTTCTTACCGAAGTAACGCACAAATTATGTAATTATGCATAAACTTGTTACAATAGCTTGTATCAAAAACGTAAATGTGTCTTGGCCGACCAATTTATTATCATCTATTGTATAATTAATATGTATATTTCTTAGGTCCACAATTTTCCTCTTAATTATTACAAATCATATTTCACGTATCCATCAAATATACGAACGGTTCGTGATTAAATCTTATAGTTGCATCTATTAACAGCCTTCTTCCACCCTTAAATATTTGGGTACGATCGTAAAATTTAGATAAAGAACATGTGATCATGGTCTTCCTTGGAGAGTCCAGGCAAGAACACTTGCTTCGTAATTATTAACTTAAGAAGAGAATGTAACTTTTAGTTAATAATCCATGAGATCAACTATTGTTTAGTTGACTTCTCAATAAAACACTGATATGTACAATAAAATTAATTAGGAATATTGCATTTAATATTCATAAATCCTTCTAAGACTTCACAACGACAAAACTACGAGATAATCCACGGTGTGCAGAGATTTCTTAATCGACAAAGGTGTTCATGTTTTTTTTTAGTGTTAAACTAAATTAACAAAGATGTAAGGCTTTTGAAATCATAGAATTACAAAATGTTCTTCAAATTAAGTCAAATTGATAGTGATAAAGTGAAAACCATAAAACGCAATCAATATATTGAGCTTGCAGTTTTTTTATCCGTTTTCTTTCATACATATTTATATGTATGTGAACGAAATAAAAATTGTGCTGACTTGGTTTTGTATGTGGGGGCGGCGGTGGTGGCCAAAATTGGCTGCGGCTGCATATTCTCCGGTCGCGCATTATACCATAAATTAAAAGAATGTGACGCAAAATCCTTAAAATCGTATTTTCCTTTATCTGAACATGGGACGACTCACACCCACTCCATCACACCTTCCTTACCACCACCCCAACATCCAAACGCGACACGTGCACGGTAATTACGCATAATAAACTATACCGAAATGCGCTTTCCCATTATTCCTCAGCAACTAGATTCTCCTGCCAGATTAAATGCGCCACCACTTTCATAGGAAATATTTTCATTGCGTTACGTAACAATTAATTCACAGTCCTTCCTTTTTATATATATAATTTTGTTCATACAGTAGTATATTCACATACATTGTGTTATCAGGGTAGCAGTAATGCGCGCACTTTTATCACACTGCTGGAAATGCCGCAGCGGGTGGGCATTTATAAATCAGCATTTCATTTATGTGCCCGGACATTTTTTTAAATAGAATATAATCGTTGCTCTGTAATCTAAAAATTCGCCGCGTTGCTCGGAATGCAACCATTTCATGCTGCACTCTAATTCAATTTTTTAGACTTTAGTACTAATGATTATAATAATGTGACTTTCAGCACTTCATCGGTGAAGGACAAACGTTTAAATAAATTTAAATTAAAATATAAAGTAATGTTTATAAATCTAACTGAAGAAATTGATCAAATAAAGAAAGTAGATATGAGGAAATCTTAGCTTGCATATTAGTCTATAATTAATTTATTAAATGCTAATCTCTTTAGAAAAACAACAAAAAAATTGAAAAAAAGTTTAATTCGTCTGTTGCGCTAAAGTTTTAATACGACTTACATTGCCTTTCGTCGCAAGTCCCTTAGGATCCATAACCAGAACAAGGATTTATCTTAGTAATTATATTTTTAAATCGAGATACAATATGGTAGCATTTCAGATTTATTATGTATATTTATATTGAGTATTATAATATATTTAATGTGAAACTTGTTATAGAATGAAATCTTAGAAAATAATCACTGCTGACAAATTTACAATATAATAAAATATATGCATATTTTAATTTGTATTTTATTTAATATTTTAATAATGTGAAACTGTTATTATTTTAATAAATGCAAAATCAGGAGTATCCAATGACACATCACTCAAATATATTATCCGATAATTATAGAGTATGAATTTAATATTTGCAATTAATTACATTTTATTCAATAATTCTCAATATTTAATTATTATGCAATACCCTTACACAATAAACAAAATAATTGATTTAATTGAACGTAACATAAATGTAATTAATTACAATACATGCAATTACACTTTATATACATAAATGCGTTCGATAAACGACGCCTCTTTATTAATATTTATCATAAATAGAGAAGAAAATTTAAAAGAATACTGGATGTGCAAGAAAGTAAACTTTTTCTAAAAGCACAAAAGGTCTTATTTGTATGAGACTTTTTGCCATTCAGGATTTTTCTTTACTGCATTCGATGAAGTGTTTTCTCTTCATTTTTTTTTCTTTCTTTTCCACGCTCCTGAGGACTCATGCCTGCAAAAGTTGCCCTTTCATCCCTTTAATTAGATGAATTACTTCCTTAGAAAAAAGTTTGAAAGCGCGGGAAAATGTTGTTCTTAGTTCCTATGTTATTTGTGTTACGGTATTACCTTTATAATATAGTATATGTATAACCGCAAATAATTTTACATATTATGAACGATATACGGATATTTATATTGTATGTAAAGTCCTTAACATTTTATTAATTTACTGCTCGTACTAAAAAAAAACAGTTTTATATACTTAGTAATCCCATTCATTCTAATAGATTTCTTACATCCCTAGGATTGATTTTCAATAATTGTAAAAAAAAAAACTAAGTTTGTTATTATTTCAATTGCTTTGAAATAACTGGTCAATATTTTAAATAAATAAAATGGGTTCGCTTATAACATTGAATGACGTTATTTTG